GAAGGTGATGCGATTATATAACTCTCTTTACAAGTCTGAGAAGTAACGACGTATGCTTTCGAACCCAAACATGTGAGCCAATTGCGGGAGGTGATGCAGGGCACCATTCTGGTTGAGCGGAATGCAGAGTTGTTGTAGCTACCTCTTCCTCTATCCGCGGCCTACCCCGGGCTTAAGATTCCCTAGAATTCTAGGAGCCAAATGGAACCAAATGAATAGTGCGTGAACTATCCTGCGTCCAGTTCCTAGTAGCTCAAGTAAAGTACTAGCTACCTAGCTACTACTAGCATCTACTAGCTACCTCTAGCTACTACCTCTAGCGGCCTATCCTTTTCCGGGGCTTGAACAAACAAGAGCTTGATATGGGAGCCTTGGGACGGTGTCGTTTGGAGTGTCGTTGGGCTTCCCGTGGGTTTTCTGACTTCGATGTCCCAAAGCGAGAGACACGAGAGACACGATACACTCCAAGAGTTGGTTGTTTTGGATTTTTTTTGACCTTGAAGTCTTAGATGTTCATAGGACATTTCCTTGAGCCACTGGCCACTCCACACAACTTCACACCACTCCACACTCTCACTGCGCAGATCAGCAGCGCCAAGTCGCACAAAGAACAGGGCGACGAGCCAAGGGCCCAAGCTCACATGCTTTAGCTGTACGCTGCACATCGCTGTACGCATTCATTTTTACAGTGAGATGCTAGGTTCAAATCACCTCAACGGATGTACGCTAAGCCATGCTGAACAACGCAGTTGCTTTGCCCAAAGCCAAATCCAGCTGACTATTGCACCTCATCAGATGTGCAACTTGTTGATGGCAATTTTTTGCTTTCCTTGTACAGGGTGTCACGGTCTTCCTGCCAAATGCCGCCGAGGCGCGTTTTCCTGCGGCGCTTCTTTCGCTCTCAGGATGGAAAGCCGGCAGACACCAAGTGCCCTGACAAACGCGTGCTTTTGCGGTCACGCGACACGAGTAGGCACGAGGAGTGCCACTTGCCCGATAGTTGTCATTCGCAGCCTGTGAGGTATTGCCTCACTGAAAGCTTCTTTGAGCTCTTGGCCGGGCTTTTATCGTCGGGCGGCCCGGCTCATGTGACGGTGTCCGCGGAACACTTGGATGACGCTCCCAAGGCTTTGCCCTGCCCATCGGATGACTGCCGCAAGAAGCCAAGTGGCAGAATTGGATGGTGAACTTCTTGAAATGGAAACAATACGAAGGCGGAGAAGACATGGTATTGAAGTAATCATTATATATGTTTCTCTGGCGTGTTTATGCATCTGACTTCTGACCAAGACTTTGGATTTCAGTCGAAAGCTAACACTACAAACAGATGAGACAGCTTTTCATGGGAGATGCAAGGGCAAATTCTGCAAAACTGTGCCCACCAAGCTTGCTCTTCTCAGCTGCGCTCCTAGGCCGAGGCTTTGCAACATCCCTTTTTCACCAAGGCCAACTTTAGGGCTTTAGGGTTAATGTGGCATTCATGAAAAAGAATGAAACATAACAACTGAAAAAATAAACAAAATACACATACATATCATATCTACTTGTTTCTGGGTGGTTATCGGTTTTTCTTTGGGTCTAAGAACACATCATCTCTGACGCTAGGAGAAACCAGTGCCAGAATGGCACGCCTGGCATTGGGCCTTGGCCTCCGCCGAAATTCCTCGTGGAGCCTGGAGCCCGAGAAGCGCCACAGACCTCGTTGAACGCTCAAAGAGAAACACAACACTTTCTTGCAAAGCATTCTTTGGCAGTAAGTTTAGTTCCTTTAGTCTACGATCTGAAGCCTTTCCGGGATCCAAGGCCCCTTAGTCTAAGGCCTTTCAGCAGAGTTCTTGCCGGACTTTCCAGAGCTGAGAAGTTGAACACGCACTTTGCTGTGAAGGGTCTGTGGTAGGATATCGCACAGCCAAGGTCTTCAGGATCCCCCCACAAAACCTTCCGCTTTCCAGCAGATATACACCAGTCATTTGCCGACTTCCTGGCCAACCTTCGTCCAGGACAAAAAGGCCAAGGCGGAGGAGGATGAGGCCGGACGAAATCGTAGGTTTGACAGTGCATCAAAATCCACCAAAGAGAACTTGTTGACCTTGGGACCTTAGGGGACCTTAGGACCTTGGTTCTGAGTGGGTGGTTGATGGACATACCAAACATTGACAGACCGAGGGGTCCTGATTCTGCTCAGACGAAGAAGCTGCTGAAGCAACTCTCGCGTGAGGAAATGGGCGCTGGAGGTGAGTTCATGGCAGCAGTCTGGAAGTTCGTCTCCATTTTTCCAGAAAAGGCACTCATGAAATGTCATGAAATATCATTGATCCTCATGAACCTTCATCGTCAATAGGATCTACAGTTGCTAAGTGCGTGACCATCCCATGAAAACAAAACAGCGATGAGATTGCTCTTGAGCTGAAGTGGCGGTGGGAGCAGTGAAAGGTGGATGTACACTGTATACCGCACCAGTACTTCTTGAAGCACATCGCGCACTTTGTTGTTTTTGTGAAGACAATGGCAAGTGCAATACGATGACATTTTTTACAACTCATTCTTTGAACTCAAGTGTTTGGCCACTTGTTTGGTGCCAGCACTTGTACCCGTGTCAAAATTAGCACACCTTTTGCAATTGGGATCGGGGAGAATCAGATTTTTACTTTCTTTTTTTTCCAAAAACCAATGAACCAATGAATAGTGTCGGCATGAGCTATCCTGCGTGCAGTAGCTGGTAGTTTGTTTTGCCCTTACTTAATTATGTAGGCGCCTACTTAATCAAGCAAGCAAGGGCGGGCTTTAAAAGAGGTTGAACTTTTTTGACCAGGTGAGGAAGACAAGGGCCACAGCAAGGCTCGACTGGGGAAGTGGACGGCCAGACCAGGGGCAATCAGATTTGCAATCTATCGCCAATGAGGCGCAAAAGGTATTAGGTTGGAGACCATCGCTATTAGGGTGGAGGCCATTCTAAATCAGATTCGCCAGGGAGGTGCAAAAGCTGTCTTGGAGAAATGGAAGGAGCAGGCTGAGAAGCGGCAGCAGGAGGCCATAAGAGCCAGTCGCACCCATGTTTGTTGCTGTTCTTTTCTTGCTTCTTTAGACCCGTTGACGTCTTATTCAATTCTTTGGACCTTTAGGCCTGTTATTTTCTTAAAATCACAGCGCACCCGGTGTCGCAGTTTTAAGCAGTTTTGTGGAAGAATTTCGCAGCTCGTAGACCGATACATCCAGAAAGATTTGGTGTCGCTGGTGACAAGGAGCTGAAACGAAGCTCCTCGACAAAGTCTTTGAAGGCCCCGATGGCTTGGATATCATGGGTGTGAAGGAGATAGCAACCAAGGCCTGAAGGGGTCCTTGATATTGCCCAATTTCTACATGCCTCAGCAACTCTTAAGGACGCTAGGAACAAAGGGCATCGCTACTAGGAGAAAGGACGCTACTAGGGGCTCCTGGCCTTACTACTAGGAGCAAGAAGCTACTAGGAACAAAGGGCATTGGTACTAGGAGCTATGAAGAGTTTTCTAGGTTGACGGTACTGTCGCAATTCTTGTGTTCCCCGCAGTATTGCCAGCCCCGCTACTAGCTCTACCGCCTTCCACCAGCCATGACTCAGCCATGCGACTACGACCGAGAAGATGTGTGCTGACTATTAGTTATAGCGAGGTGTTTCGTTTTCTTCTATAAGACGTGACTAGTTTAACAATGAAGGCATTAAGGATCATCTTGACAATGCTCTGTTTCTTGAATCATTCAACATATTTCCTATCAGCATAGAACACAGATACTGAAACACATTTATGGTCTGTTCGCGTACATTTCGATGCTTGGTGCGTCAGACTCGTGTCCAACTGAACTCAATTAGAATTGCCTGAAGAGGGTCTTTACAGGAGCTTATGTAAGATGTAAGATATAGGTCATTGCTATTAGGTTAGAGTCGGCAGGTTGTAATCTTCCGTCCAAATGTCCTGCTTGTGCGATTGCTTCTGTGGCTAGGCAGTTGAGGTGGAGGTTCCTGGATGGACAAAGCACTGGTCCAGCTCAAAGCAGCTTGGAATGCAGTTTGCAATTTCGCACTTTGTTGTCATAGCTTCGATTCACTTCACATGCGATGTATTTGCATCTTCTTTAATCACTACTTCACAATCTTGTAGTGTATTCACTTAGTGCACGGGCTTCCTCTAACGCTCAAAGGGGAATGGCTCTTGTTCAAGCACCGTCTCCAGGTTATGAGGTTTCAGGTTCCGATTTTTTTCAAATGAATTTGCAAATCCAACATTTGGTGCCATTGGAGGTGAATGTAGTGCACAGCCTCAATCATTTTTATGTTCGAGTTTGCAGAGAGACGCTGTTCTCGGCCAGCGGCTAGCTGAAGCGTCGATCAGTGCGAAAGGCAGCGGTACTATTTCCACAACAGCAAGACAGGTGCTCCGAACTGAGTTCTGCCTGAGGATTTTCTCTCATTTGGAGCAGTCGATGTACGCAGAAAGTTGTTCAGCCTTTCAGAAAGATAGGGGCCTCTTCATTGACGCATTTAAACACTTCCAGATTCAAGAGGAAATTCAATGGAGTTTTGTGGTGAACCTTTTGACTATGAAACAACTCCCTATGGGGATCTTGGGCGCGCCTATTGGGGTAGCTAGCTGGGCCCATGCATGTTATGACCCAGGCCGAGAATTCTATCGACATGCCGAGTCTGACATGTTCACCGTTTTGGACTGAGCGCATGGACCGAGCTCTTCACCTTGGGCGCTTTTTTTCAGGCTCATCAACTGCAGAGGAAACAAATACAAAATATGGCTCCACCCCATGGAAGGAAAAACACATTAAGGCTCAGATGAATCCATCGATGTCAACTTCCAATTTATCCAATTTTTGAAGGCCATGTGTTGAGGAATTCCTTTTTCCATCATTGAATGAAAGGCTAAGTAAGGCTAAGACGAGGCGTGGCCAGTTGAAAGTGAAAGCCAATGAAAGCAAAGGACTGCCATCCTTCAAGTCCATCGTTGGATTCAAGGCTTCTTTTTCCAAAGGGCACTTTGGTGACTTCGACTGCCTGTACGCGCTGCCATGAATGGCAAAGAGCGGTCGGCATGGTCTTCCAAGATGCCCAAGGCGTGGATAAACGAGGGAAAAGGAAGGTAAGGACACCTTACAAAAAACCCGGTGTAAATGTTTTTTGGTTCCTTTTTGGTTGTTGTATTTTCAATCTCAGACATCCAAATCTAGTGGAGATAGGGAAGGGCGTGGAATGTCTTGGAAGAGAATTGTTTACTACCGTTGCGACAGGTTACTACAAAGCATTAGGTCTGGGATGCCTTCATGGACCGCGAGTAATCAGAACTCTACTTTCATATTCCTGTATACACACGTATAGAGAGTCCGTATGATTGAGTTCCAACAAACCGCTTTCTTTCCAGCCCCTTGCTGTAACACGGCAGAGCCCTGGGGATGATGTCATGTCATGCATACATGGCAAAGATTTAGTTGACTGGTGAAGTTGGCCATTCCCATGAAGCCATTGAGCCATTCCCATGAAACTGATTCACACATGCCTCCAACCAATGGCCACAGCCTTGTTCATTTGCCGGATTCTGCAAGGCTGTGGACTTCGAGGACGACCCCCCGGTAGCTCTGGACGACACTACACTGTTGGGTGCTGCACCCTCCCGTAGCGCGCCCCAGCTGCCACAGCGGGAGACGGTCTTCGGCTTTGGTGCAGCAAGGCGGCATCTCTCAGAGCAGTTCCGCAACCTTGTGGACCAGCTGGTGGAGGTCTGGGCGCATGGGAGCCTGCGGGCTTGCTGTCTTGTCAATGATCCCCTTAGTAGGTCAAGGCCAAACAGCTTTCCCACTTTGAGTGAGCAAGACTCTTTTTACAAACTTTTAGAACGACTCGCTGTTTGAACCTTTTGGCCTTACTACATACAAAAGCACTTTCTTGGACTTCATCCAAGAATGCTGCTGGAACGGCACAGACTCACCCTAGACAGGTCCACCTCACTGAGCTGCAGCTGGAACGACGCCCGCCAGAACCTTTGGACGGTGGTCCAGGCTGAACCGGGACAGGAGACTCAGGAGACGTTCTTAAGCTACTAGTAACTACGGCATCGCTACTAGTAGCTTTTACTTACTAGTAGTGAGGCCAGGAGCCTCTACTAGCGTCCTTGCTCCTAGTAGCAAGGCCAGGAGCCCCTAGTAGCTTCTTAGTAGCGTCCTTGCTCCTAGTAGCAAGGCGAGCCCCTAGTAGCTACTAGGGGGGTCGGGGGGTCCCTTGTGTAGCGCGTTTTGGGTCGCTTGTGCGTCGCGTCTACTACCACTACTACTACTACTACTGCTGCTGCTGCTGCTACTGCTACTGCTACTGCTACTGCTACTGCTACTGCTACTCCTACTACTACCACTACTACTACTACTACTACTACTCCTACTCCTACTCCTACTCCTACTACTACTACTACTACTACGACTACTACTACTACTACTACTACTACTACGACGACGACGACGACGACGACGACGACGACGACGACGACGACGACTACTACTACTACTACTACTAACACTGCCACTACCACTACCACTACCACTTCTACTATACGGATGTCCACCGCGCATTCCTTCAAAGAGACACCGCCAACCCACCCCACCCGGATGTAAGATGTGATGATGTGGCCACGTAGGCCAACCACTTCTCACCATCATTTCCCATCGATGCGCAAGTGACCCACTGGGTCGATGCGTAAGTGACCCTCCGATGCGCAAGTGACCGATGCGCAAGTGACCCATTTTGCGATGCGCAAGTGACCCTTCTGCCTACTAGGGGCCCCCAGTAGCTTCTTGTTACTAGTAGTAAGGCCAGGAGCCCTTAGTAGCTTCCTAGTAGCGTCCTTGCTCCTAGTAGCAAGGCGAGCTCTTCTTACTAGTAGTAAGGCCAGGGCCCCCCTGGAGCGTGCTAGTAGCTTCTTGTTATTATTAGCAGAAAGGCCAGGAGCCCCTAGTAGCGTCCTTGCTCCTAGTAGCAAGGCCAGAAGCCCCTCGTAGCTCTTTTTTACTAGTAGTAAGGCCACGAGCCGCTGGTAGCGTCCTTGCTCCTAGTAGCAAGGCCAGGAGCCCCTAGTAGCTTCTTGTTACTAGTAGTAGGGCCAGGAGTCCTTAGTGGCGTCCCTGCTCCTAGTAGCAAGGCCAGGAGCCTCTAGTAGCTTCTTGTTACTAGTAGTAAGGGCAGAAGCCCCTAGTAGTGTCCGTGCTCCTAGTAGTAGCAAGGCCAGGAGCCCCTAGTAGCTTCTTGTTACTACTTGTTACTAGTAGTAAGGCCAGGAGTCCCTAGTAGCGTCCTTGCTCCTAGTAGCAAGGCCAGGAGCCCCTAGTAGCTTCTTGTTATTGGTAGTAAGGGCAGGAGCCCCCAGTAGCGTCCTTGCTCCTAGTAGCAAGGCCAGGAGCCCCCAGTAGCTTCTTGTTACTAGTAGTAAGGCCAGGAGCCCCTAGTAGTGTCGTGCTCCTAGTAGTAGCAAGGCCAGGAGCCCCTAGTAGCTTCTTGTTACTACTTGTTCCTAGTAGTAAGGCCAGGAGTCCCTAGTAGCGTCCTTGCTCCTAGTAGCCAGGCCAGGAGCCCCTAGTAGTTTCTTGTTACTAGTAGTAAGGCCAGGAGCCCCTAGTAGCGTCCTTGCTCCTAGTAGCAAGGCCAGGAACCCCTAGTAGCTTCTTGTCACTAGTAGTAATGCCCTTGCTACTAGGAGACGTTCTTTTGACTCAGGAGACTCAGGAGACCGCGTCGTAAACGACAGAGCGCAGCTGACTGCTTCTCCGAAATTCCTAGGAGATCAGATTGACCAGACTTGGAGACATCCTGCACTCTTCTCTTGCTTGCGCGCGGTTTGTCACACTCATGTAGGTCCGAGTTTTGATGGGATTCGTGCACATAAACAGACAAACGAAGACTCTAAGAATACAATCATTGTCGTAACAATTTTTTGGTACGAGAACCAAACTTGTTTAACACATAGAAACCATATTATCAAACATAAATATCACGAGGCCACCAACATAAATATGTTCAACATTCTTTCAACATAAATATGTTGAACCACCCTTTACAATTCGCCACGATTCGACGCGACGATGCCCTCGTTTTCAGGTGGGGCCAAGCCTCGGCGCTCGTCGAAAATCGAAAAGATTGAGCGATCGGGATCGCAGCTTCATCTGCAAGTCATACGGGAGGTAAGAGCAATGGCCTCCAACCTAATAGCGATGGCCTTTAACCTACTAGGTATTCCAGGTCTTCAAATCGAGATCATACATTTTTTTCCGGATTGGCCTTGAGTGGAGAGAGTCTTTTCAAGTTTTCAAGTTCCGTGTTGACGAATTCTTCTTCATCCAACTGGCAGATCTTCCCTGACAACAGATTGCTTGTGTTGGATGAGTAGACTGATTTAGTAGTCAAGGAGGTATCATCCGCCTCAAAGTGTCAAGAGTGACCTCACTCAGCACGACCTTTCACTTTCCTTCGCATCCATGGTATACTTTCTGACTTAAATCCAGTTTCTGATGACTCTTGATGGACATTGGATTGTTTGAATGTGATGCGGTGATTGAGGCAATCATCTGAGCAACCTGGCTGAACAATATAGAACTGACTTTATGACCAACGACCTGTTGTGCTGGGCTTTAGACCACAACTCCTTGAATAGGCTCGTTGGTTGCTGGGAGAGGTGGATCATGTTTCATTGCCCAACAGCAGTGGTGCGAGATTCCTTTTCAAGGCCTTGGGAAACACCCCTCAAGGCCCCAAAGGCAAATGGTCGTTTTGCATTCTTGTATGTGTGTGGTGCTCATGGTGTGGTCACCACTATTGAAGGTTGTTTTAAATTTCTGCTCCAACAAGCAGTTCCTAAGCTTAACACACCAGGAAAAAGAGTTCCTTGAGCAGTTCCCCCCACGACTGATGCAGGAGGAGAGCCTCTGCCTTTGCGGATGTCATGACCAAGCAGCATGAGAGTTTACCTCAAGTGCATGCGAGCCAAATCTTAGACATTTGGCAGACTCACGAGGACCGCTCCGACCTAGCGATGGCCTCCCAACCTACTAGCGATGGCCTCCAACCAAAGAAGCTCTCATTACCAGGATCCTCACAATTAACAAACTCCTTCTATCAGCATCTTGGAGTGCTGCAGCCGTAAGCATCTCCACAGCCAAAGGATACAAAAGGTTTGCCCAAAAAAGGCTTGTTCGTCAACGTTTTCTAACCCGTAGTGCTGTCGTACTCTTCTGTTCAGCTGCCCGGGACAGGACGAAATCAATTCCATGTTGTGACTGAGCAGCAAGTTGGAAGGACGGAAGTAAGTTGGATAGTGCCTTACTAGTAGTAACAAGAAGCTAGTAGTAGCAAGTGCCACGCTAGTAGTAACAAGAAGCTAGTAGTAACAAGTGCCTTACTAGTAGTAACAAGAAGCTAGTAGTAACAAGTGCCACGCTAGTAGTAACAAGTGCCTTACTAGTAGCAACAAGAAGCTAGTAGTAACAAGTGCCACGCTAGTAGTAACAAGAAGCTAGTAGTAACAAGTGCCTTACTAGTAGCAACAAGAAGCTAGTAGTAACAAGTGCCTTACTAGTAGTAACAAGTGCACAAGACACGGAAGGCTCGGTCTGTGGCCGCCTTTGTCCTTGGGAGCGTACCAATGAAAAAGCTCACCATAGTCCACCCAGTACGCATGTCCAGTGCTTCGCTTTCAGTTTTCGTCGTGGATGACTGGTCCCCAAAAAACATATTCCTGCGATCGTGTTCATCTCCTCGACTCCTTGCTTTCAATGGTACTCTCTTCGCACCTTCTTTCTTGACTCTTCATTGCTCCTTGCAGATGTTTTTTTTTGATTTAATCTTTGACAGTCCCTTTATGTGGGAAACGTACGTTTAGTTTAGATGTGGATTCCTCGATCAGCCTGACGCTCAGATCCTTTGACGGCGAATGGGTGGGCAGGACGGAGGGTTTGGAAGGCGAGGGCGGAGAGCAAATCGTTGGGCTACCAAGGCCAAAAGCATCCCACAAGGTCTGCAAGGAAGAAGCGAGCGATGAAAAATCAAGGGAAGGTCCTTAAGGCCTCACCATGCCTTCCCGTTCTTTTTCTTTTTTTTTGGTTGCTTTAGATCCAAGACACCGAGTCACGTCCAACACTTGAGGCCTTTGAAAGCAGCAGATACAGCTGTAGCCATAGCAATCCGAGGTTAGAAGATGAGACAGCTAAGGTCCTTTGTACCGATTCAACATCTTGACACGTTGCTGCAGGACCAATTCCATGGAGAAGTTGGGCTGCGGCGGCATGGTGGAGCTGGTGCAGTCGGTGTCCTGTCAAGCTAAACGAGTCAAGAAACGAGAAAGACTGGCACAAGCACTTGTGGTCAGGGTCTGCCGCAGCCACAAACCGCCCCTCGCGTACAGGTGGGTTGGTAAGTTACAGTAGTTGGCATTTTGTGCTGCAAAGAAGCATGAGCATCATGTACACCACAAAAGAGAAAATGCACAATGTGAAACTGAAATCGCAAGCACGCCCCAAATTGAGTGGTTTGGATTAGGCGAATTTTTGTGCTCAAGAAAGATCGATCTTATTTAGTATTACTCTGGCAGACAAGCTAGCGGTCGAACCAATTGCGCCACAGCATCAATTCCATATTAGTGTCAGGATCGAAATTGTATAGGTCTTTCTTCTTTGCAAGACCATACGGAACATGCCGTTTTAAACGGCTCTCTTCTCCAATAATTGGTACTTGTCAGGCATCTTAAGGCCATGACATCGTTGGAGCACTCGAGCAGATTTTCACCATACACGGGAGACTAGCAGTTTTTTTTGATCAAAGGAGGACAGAGACTCCGAACCAGAGTGCAGGCGAGAAGTTCAGCAAAGTAGCACTGGAAGAGCCTTGTTTCTTGTAGGTAGGAATATATTTCGCCTATGAACTTGTCTGAATGTGCTTGACTATCCACCGAAAGGATTCGACAATGATTGAAGAGAGATAGATAGATAGATATATATATATTCCTCAACCGGAGCAATCGCACTTTAGGGTCGTCGAGGCTATGGGATATTCATTTATTCCTAGTTCCTGCATTTCGCTGGCAATTATCCCTTTCCCATGAGAAAGACCACTGGGACTATAAATGATATGGCCTAAGCCATTTGATTTAAACGTCGCAAAACAAATCACAGGTAAACACTGTCTTGTGCCTTGAGCAATGGATAGGATTTCTGATCAATTCTTAAGTTTGAGCACTTTGATTGCATACCGCAATACCCTACGTGACATGCGATTAGACTGCGGTGTGCCAGTGTGCTTTTCAACACATTCCAAACATGAAAGGTGAAATATGAGATGCTCATGGCCATTTTCTTGTCTCTGAACATCCTCTGGATGGCTTTCGAGCTTCAAGTTTATGGGACCATGGCTGGAGAGGACCGGCATGACATTGGTATTGTCAAGATATGTCAAGACCTGCTTGGCTTATTTTGACTCTGGAAGAATCCAAATCAGAATCACGCTTCATTGTCAGGCTGCAAGACATTGTAAGGTGTGGCAAGGTGTAGGATGGTCTGCTGTCAGTTTGCGTTTTGCGTTTGAGAGGATTTGAGAGCGGGCGGTCTGATCGATCGCAACTTAAATGGCTGGGAAACATGCTGCTTGGAGCATGTAATCAGAAGGGTGTGCTCGTTTGGGACAAAACTGCAAGAATGAACTCTGAGGTTTCCTTGCCAAGTGTCAGGAGTGTCAGGGAGAACGATTATTTGTCGTTTGCTCTTTAGTTTCACTTTTTGTAAAGGCTTCATGGTTGGGGAGATTGTCTTCACAGTGACCTTTGCGCTGGACGTGTCTTGGCCGTGAATTAAGTTTCCCTAAAAATCTAGGAACCAATTGAATAGGGCGAGAGCCTCCTTGAAGAAGCGTAAGCTATCCTGCGTCCATACTAGTAGCGTTCTTGAAGCTACTAGCTACCTCAGTTCCTTAATTAAGTAGGCAGTCTCTACTCAATGAGTAGGGAGGGGGGCGAGCGAGCGGGGTAAAAAAGGTTTTTCCTGCAATCCATTTTGCTCTCTCCACGGTGGTCTTGCGTCGAAACTTGAAGGTCACCTTGCGCATCAGCGTCCTTCGATGTTACTTCTGGCGGTCACCGTTGAAGCTTTGGCTTGCAGTGTTGGTTTTCACTAGCGGACACATACCTCTGCATGGGAACTTCAGTTGCTTTTTGGAACACATCAGCCAAGTAGGTCCTGAGGGCATCATCATCAAAAGCTACGCTCAGCGTCTATACTAAAGCTTGGCTATACAGTGTGATACACAAACATGAGGGAACAAATAGCAAAGACTCCACATCGCAGTCGCTTTAGCGCGCCTCAGGAACTACATCGATCTCCTTGTTTCGGTCACGTCCGTTGCAGAGATTGTAGCACCTTGCCGGGCAGACAACTGACCATGCAAGGGATCCAAAGTGGAAGCATGTAGCTGGACACTTTGGGGGGCACATCATAGATCGTCATTCCTTTTTGTCCCACCTTGTTGGATGTGTAGAAAAGGCAATGACCTCACTGCCTATCAGGTCTATTACGCCATCGACCTGCCTGTGAACTCCGTCTTCTTCAGGCTTTTGCGCATTGGAAAGCTGGCACGAGCGATACGAAGCCGGACACAAATTGGTTTCAGCTTGGTTTGCTTGGGTCCTGAAGTCAAACAAGTCAATTATAGTCATTATAGTCAAAAACTACCCGGTGTTGTTCCGATTGATAGGAAGATCCAGTTGTGGACTCTCTCAGAGAAGATCAGAGCATTGTTCCCAGTAACAAGAAGCTACTAGGAGCAAAGGGCATCGCTACGAACGGAGCAGGACTCTACTAGTAGCTCCTGGCCTTACTAGTAACAAGAAGCTACGAACGTAGCATTGTTCCCTTGTTCAGTTTCCGTCAAGGAATGTTTTCGATGACCAGCGTCCTTGCATCGCTGCAATTGCTCATCAAGTGCCTGGTAACTTGGCCAAGCGGGTGGAAAAAGCCATGTCATGGTAGACCTTAGACCCCAAACATATCCAGATTATTTACTGTATTGCAGTGGTTAGAGTAGCCTGCCCCAAAAGACAGCTCCAAATCCGAGTTGCAGGGATTGCTATTGATTGCTCGTTACTATTGACATCTATTGACCTGAAAGGAGGCCAAACTGCCCGCAAGAACAGTTCTGGGATGTTTAAGATCACATTGCAGGGTGAAGGGAGTTAAACATGGCGTTAGTAACAAGAAGCTACTAGGGGCTCCTGGCATCGCTACTAGGAGCAAGGACGCTACTAGGGGCTCCTGGCTGTACTACTAGGAGCATTCTTACTACTAGTAACAAGAAGCTGCTAGGGGCTCCTGGCCTTACTACTAGGAGCAAGGACGCTACTAGGGGCTCGTGGGATCGCTACTAGGCGCATTCTTACTACTAGTAACAAGAAGCTACTGGGGGCTCCTGGCCTTACTA